GTGACTCCAAGAAGGTTTCATAACTTCCTTGTCAACTGGCCTGGATTTAGAATCACCTAGGAGACACGCTTCTGCTAGTTTCTGTGAGGGCATGTTCAGAGAGGTGCAACTGAGCAGGAAAGGCCCAGCATGGATGCTGGCAGTCCTATCTCATGGGCTGAGGTTCCACAAGCAATAGAAAGGGAAAACAAAAGTTGAATACCAGCATGCAGACTCTGACAGGTGACTACCAACCTCACATTCCGGCCTTTGTGCCTTCCCACCATGGAGGACTATACCCACTTTTAAAGTATGACAACCCAAACAAATCCTCCGTACTATATAGCTTTTTATCAGGCACTTGGTCACAGGGACAGGACTTGTAAGTAACACAGGTGGTGGCATCATTCTTACTCCTGAAAGATTTCTTCCTGAATGTCACAACATCTGTGGTGGTTTGAAATGGCCCCCAAAGGGAGTGACACTACTAGGCAGTGTGGCTTTGGTAGAGGAAGTATGTCACTGTGGGGGTGGGCTTTGAGGTCTCTTTTTCCTCAAGCTTCACTCAGTGACAGTCAACTTCCTGCTGCCTGCAGTATGTTGCGTTCTCAGCTCCGACACCACATCTGTCCGCAAGCTGTCATGTTCCCCATCATGATGATAATGGACTGGACCTCTGACTCTGTAAGCAAGCCACTCCAATTATGTTTCGTTTGTAAGAGTTGCTGTGGTCATGGTGTCCCTTTACAGCAACAGAAACCCTAACTACGATAACATCATATTCTACATCTCAACCCTTCATCAGCACACTGGGCATACAGAACCGAGACAGACATTTCACAAAACAATCGTTCTCCTCCGCCCTGGGCATCTAAACATGCGTACACTGGGCAGAACAACACCTTAAGGGCCGCATACCAGTGTCCCCAGCAACTGTTTCCACAGACAATGCTTTCCTCACCGCTGCCACAGAATCCCTGACAGAAGGGAGATTTTTTTTTTTTTTCTTCTGGCCCAGGTTTCAGATTTCAGCCCATCATGGTAAGGACCACATTAAGGCAGGAAGTAGACAGCAAAGGGCCAGGTGTAACCTTCAAAAGTCCATTTTTAAGGAACTATTCTGTCACATAGGCCCCACCTCCTTAGGTTCCACTGCCCCCTGGAAGAATACCACCATCTGGGGGTACAAGTGCTCAAATGAAAATTCTGGCAGGGCCATCTGAGACTCCAACCTGGACCCGTGATGAGGCGGATTTGTAGGTGTTGATATGAAAAGATCATCCATACTACACATTTTTAGAGATAAGAAGCAGACGAGTAAAAATAACCCCAGTTTAACAAAACAGTAGTTAAGACTCCAGTCTATTAAAAGTCTTCACAGGACATACAAGGTCTGGGAAGTACATGATCTATAAAAGTGGCTACTTTTCACATTGTGGATGTTTTAATTTCATCATTTGTATAATATACCACAATGTGTTCCTTTTTTAAATCAGGAAAAAAGGTCATAAAATTATGACAAAACAGCCCCAAAGAACTTCAGGAGTGTGTTAGGTAAAATGTATACCCAAGATTCATTTTGTGTTCTAGCCTCATAAATTCCTTGGCAGTGTGAAGCAAAGAATTTGAGAAACCACTTCTTTTCCTCTGGTGCTACCATCTTCGTTACTGAGGGAACCGAACCTGGAACGCATGTGTGGAGTGACCCAAGGGGACAGGCACTGGTTCACTGAGACGCAGACGCAGGCTGCCCTGCAGTGAATGCTTCTCCTTGCAGTAAGGGTGGAAAGCTGTCTGCAGGGACAGCGTTCAGTGAGCACCAGGTTCCCTTGGGTCACTTGCACACTCTGTAAAACACTGCAGTAAATCTCGAAATGAACTGTGTCTGATTGCTTGGATAAAACGGGGTTCTCCAGTGACGCAGTCATTACATATACCCCACCCCATCTCCCACCCACCAGTGTCTCTCGCTGGAGATTTGCCTGCTAGGACTGGGCTACACAGTATCCCAGCCTGCTGGATGGCACTTCTCCCTGGCATTTAGATGAATCCTTTCCTTACTTCAGTGCGAGGGAGACGTTTGAGGGTAGGACCATAGCTGTTATCTAGATGCCTGCTCCAGGGTAAGGAGCACATAGTTTCTGGGGTGAGTCTGCGATCCCTCTCACCTAAGGAAGAAACCCAGGCTGTGGGAGCCATCCTCACCCTGTAAGATGAGTGAGTGAGAAGAAATCCCATTTTTCTTCCTGTGGAACAGACGGCATTGGCAATGAGCCCGGTCATTCGGGAGTCTTCATCATCTGTTAATAAAACCCAACTTATAATTATGGCTGGCTATGCAGGAGGCCAAAATGAAGAGACAGAATTTATTTCTGGTTTTTCCATCCCGCCCCTTCTTGCCGTTTCCAATTTTAACGCCAAGTGTTAACTCCGAGGTTGGAGTTAGAAGTACAGAGCTTCCTGCCCCCACCCAAGTGCTCTATTAATCCAGAGCTAAGCCTTCTAAAGTCTCATGGCTTCCAGCATGAGGAGAAGACTGCTCCTTAGATTCCAGGACCACTGCAGGCTACTGTAGACAAGCTCCACAGAGCTTCTTCCTCCGTGGTTCCCGATTCCTGACACAGGGCCCCACCACCCGGGACATGTCCTTCTGAGCAGAATTTTTAGGTTCACAGATCCTATGACTGTTTTCCCATACTTTTTTCTTGCACTGTACAAAGCTTTTCAAAGGTTTCTCAAAGCCCCTCTCTATTTGCCTGTAATCTTCAGAAAAAATTTCATTTATGTATGACCCACCTGGAATTTATTTTATCTGTGAAATGACAATATAATTTAAAATACCGCTTGTTTACATACACTGCTTTTATTACTGTTATTCTGTGCTGTTTGTCCAGCCCCACTGGCTAAATGATGGCAGTTTTAGAATAGTCCTTCATACTAGACATCTTCCTCAAAACTCGTGCATTCGAGCACTGGCCTCAGCCTTCACCTTCCATCTCAACCTCTTCTTGTCTTTCCCTTTCTTTTCAATTCTCTGATTTCAATACAGGAAAACAGAAGAAACCAGAGACCTGTGTGCTCCAGCATCCCCTCCTGCCTCTGCGCTCAAATACGCCATCTCCTCTCCTACTCATATGGACAAACTCTATATGCCTAGCTTTTTAAAAAGCATTTTATTTTTTAATATTTAAAAGAATTTTAAAATTTAAATATATTTTGATTATATTCTTCTCCTCTTCATCCACCCAACTTTATTCTTTCTCAAAAAAAACCCCAATACAATAGCAGGACCCCCCCCCAAAACTAGGAAAAATAAAACCACATTTAAAAAAAACCTCAAAAGTATCCAATTGTAACCAAGTAAAAGCTTACATACAAAACCAAAACAAAACAATAACGACAACAAAAAGAAACCCTGTGGAGTACTGTCCAGTATATGTTGGTAACTACTCCTGAACACGAGGCCCATCCTCGAGTGGTGGACAGACTCTGCCATTTGACTGGAGAAAACGGATTCCCTCTTCCAGCAGGTATGAGTACAGTTGAGCTGTTACTGTGTCCCTGTCTTTTAAACTAACCCATTCAGGACATCATCCAGCAATTTTCCTGTCGTCTGTATCAAACTCCAATTTTAATTTTTACACATTATTTCTTCTTTCTAGAAACACACAGAAGCTCTCTTGGTTCCATTTCCACCTTCTAGCCATTATGCCTTCTTCCCATACCGCCAAAATCCGCAAAATTGTTTATGGTCGACACCTCCAACCAGACTCCAACTCTTAAACCCGTATCCGTAAGAGGACAATGATGACTGAGATATGGGCCTTTGTCTCCTGAGACGGTCTTTGTGGTTTCTAGCACGTCTGAGATAAAAAGGGCAGAGGACAGGCTGACGGCAGTACTACCTTCTTAGCTGTCCCGGGCTCAGAGCTGCCCTGGCTCCTTCCCGAGATGCCCCTCAGCGCTTACGGCACTGTGAACCAGAGAACCTTGGCAAGAATGAGTAGGAAGACCTACTAAACATGATGGCATTAGCATGCGCTGCCAGGTGAAGACCAGCAAGCAGCAGAAAAGCTCACCAGGAATGAAAGTTAGGCAAACAGGACTCCAAAGACACCTAGTACACTAGTTAGAATGGAGAGCTAAGGCAGAACCATCGCGAGATACTATTTTCTGACTGGGCATCCTGAGAATAAAAAGCAGAACTGAAAATCTGCAAGGGTAATGGGCACTTACTTACAAATCAATAGGGCTGGCCAGCCTTCAGTACCCACCCTCCACAGCCCTCATGGAGACCCCCGTGGAGAAAGTCAGGTCACTGTTCACACAGACACTCCACACACCGGCAGGTCACTATTCACACAGACACTCCACACACCCCCGTGGAGAAAGTCAGGTCACTGTTCACACAGACACTCCACACACACCCATGGAGACCATCAGGTCACTGTTCACACAGACACTCCACACACCGGCAGGTCACTGTTCACACAGACACTCCACACACCGGCAGGTCACTGTTCACACAGACACTCCACACACCGGCAGGTCACTGTTCACACAGACACTCCACACACCGGCAGGTCACTGTTCACACAGACACTCCACACACCGGCAGGTCACTGTTCACACAGACACTCCACACACCGGCAGGTCACAGTTCACACAGATACACATCTGAGCAAACCATGGTGGCAGCAGTGCACAGAGGAGCTCTGCTCACCTCATTTGACCCCAGCTCTCATGCAACACTTACCTTTTCCACTGAACAAGAGTTGGGGGCACTTCCTCCACTGTTCTTGGCACATCTCACCTGATCTACATTTAGTCTTTTCGAAGGTCATTTTTATTCGGATTTGAAGTTTAATTCCAACAGTTAAGAGAATATGCCCTCTATGATAAGTTAATTAAAGTAATTCTTGACATTTCCAGACTCTTCCCAGTTCCCCAAAGGCACAGTTTCACAAACTTTAATTCAGTGTGGTTTCTAGCATTCACTCAAAGAACACAGCAAACCAAAGTCACCGGCCAGTCATTTATTGTAGGGCCATACATAGTTCTTCTAAGGAACACACTGTCATTGACTTGATGGTCACAAATACATGATAATTTCTTTTACTGGTATATTTTTGCTCAGTTTGGTAAGGCAAAATAAAGATTATTATTAAAAAATTATAAATTGTATGCAAAAGTCCTAATTTAACAACTGAAAAAATGGCAGGATTAAAGATTGCTAGTCCTGATATGTCAACCAGCATCGTGCATTTCAAATAAAGAAAACAACCCACCCTGGTCCAAGACAGCAGATGCTAGCAGGAGAAGTGAAGCTACCTGCTACAGAAGCGTAGTCAATGAGCAATTACAAAAGGTAAGAAAACTGCTGCCACCCAACCCGTGGGAGGACATTAGGAGTTGTGTTCTCAACGAGGAGTCAGGATGGTGTGACCAACACTTCTACCCAGGATCCCCTCTCATCTGCTGTCTAGGTTTCCTGAGCTTTGGCTTGTCCTTGAAGCTGTAGAAATGAGGAGACACAATGGTGCTTGGCCTTCAGTGAGGGGCTCACAACACCCGAAGGAGGTCCAGCGAAATCCTAGATCTGGGGATGTCGATGTTGAGGACTTTCACTTCCACTTTCTCTCCAGGACCTAAGCCCAGGCTCCTTCTCTTCTTTGTTTTAGATAGCTTTGCTTCTGTTATGCTTCGTATAGGAATGAGACCCAACTTCCCCACTCCGATATCCACAAAAACCCCAAACAGAGTGGCATTCTCGACTTTGCCTGTAAGAACTGTCCCAACCTGTAGATCTTCCAGACACACTATGTTTCTCTTGAAGTCAGGTTTATCAAAATCTATGAGGAAAGAGGGCAAATGTTAGTATAACCAAGAAGACGCTGCGCTGAGAGGTCTGGAGTTCACTGTGTACTGACTGATAGGGATGCTCAGATCAATAACAGTCTCTGAGGGAAGACAAAAGGAGCTGAGTGCACAGGCTTGTCCTGAGGGGGGGAAAAATACATCCTGGGAGAAACAGACAAATCAAGAAAAATTTCTCCGACATTGTCTTCTCTCTACAGTCTGCCTCACTAACGTGAACACGAGCAGTCTAAGGCCATGGACAGACAGTCTCCTTTTCTTTTTGGCAAAGGACTATTGGAGTGTACCTTTGCTGGGGACCACACTGGACTACATGACAAACGCTCAGGAAAGGAGATCCCTGGAGACACGAGAACAGGAGTTAGCTTCCAGTTCCTGGATTCTTAAATTGTTTCAAGGTGGTGAAAGTTCCACTAGTTTCTGGACAAACGTGGGTGAAATCAAATGTTCTCTCTCTACTTCTTCCCACAAACCGGGAATTCAGGAGTCAATGTTTTCTGTTTCAAACATATTTATTCAGTCCGGACACATAGGTTCTCTATTACCTATGGCTCAGAAACCCACACCAGTCAGAGCTAGCCTTCTCTCTCTCTTCCTTCAGCTAAGCTGATTGAGTATTTACTTCCTCCCATCTCATGGCCAGGTGCTCAGCTGGATGCTAGATACACAGAGACAAAGATCCCGAGGTCCCCATCTCAGCCTTGCCAGTCCTCTCCTGGCCCACCCTCCTATCCATGCTTCTATTCACCAACACTAGCCCTTACAGAGTCAGCACCCAGTCCATTCCCGCTTTCTCCGCAGCTGCTGCCTGCCCTGGCTACCTGCTGAGTTATTCTTTACAACTGAATTAACAACCACTCGCCTTTCTCGTCCTCCCTAAGTCCAACCACCATAAGATCAGGATCTTTTAGAAATAAGCTCCCCCACTGCTATCAAACAAGCCCAAACCCAGGAAACCCAATTTCACTGTCCTCATTAAGCACCCCAATATGGTAACTGACTCTTGAGATTTTACCTGATGCTGAATCCCAAAGCAGGAAACCTCGGGGAATTCAACCCACAGAGGGTGAGGGCTACTCAAAGCCGAGTGAAACTCGGGCACCCAGGGCCAGGGCAGGATGGTCTCCAGGCCCATGCTTGAAAACTCTCTCCTCCTTTTCCTTGCAGAAGTCCAGTTGCTGCCAATCCTCAAAGGGCTCTGATCAACTCAGAGCTCAGTTTAACTTTGCATGAAAGCCAGACTCAAGAGCTACTCAACATGTTCCCCTAGATGGCTTGGGCCGCTGAGAAACCCAAAATCCTCCATGTACACGCAAATTTTAACACACTGAGAGCCAGGGCGGCAGTTAGGTCACTGTCATCAGCTTGCTCCTAAGTAAGGAAACTAACTTGCAAGAGAGCTTTGATAAAAAGGAACTGATTATGTCACTGAAAAAAACTGAAGTTTGACGAGTATGAGAAAGAATGAAGCTATTTAGACAGAAAACACTTTTGAAAAAAATGGAGAAAAGAGATGTAATTCAAATACTATAATACGAAAATGCCCAAAATATGTCTATCCCCTCTCTACCTCCAAAGTATGACTCATCAGCATCCCGACCCTTTGAGAATGTGTTCAGTAGTAAAATGATAGTTTTCAAATATCTTGAAAACTGTGACTTAACAAGGGCAAAGGTTAGTTGCAAAGTCTGCTTAAAGAACCCTATTTGAAATTGTACTTGTCACGCTGGAAAGACTGGGTCTGTCTGCGTTCTGCTCAACAAGAGGCTCATTAAGGAAGGCCCTTTGCTTAGCTGGGCTGACTGGGTGTTTGCCTTTGAGTCCTTGGTGCAACTGAGATAATAAAGCAATCAACAGTATGATAGAAAAACCAAGATATCAGGAAAAGCCAATACAGGCTACCTGTGGCTAAAGTCTTTGTCAACCATCCAGTTGGTACATAGGCATGTCACCAATTTCAGCCTGTGTGAGAGACATTGATCTTAGTGTTTCTGCAAAAGACAGCCATGGAGTCCACATAGAGAGAAGCAGGCTTCTTGGCAGTTTCATCTGTGGGAGCAGCCACTTCACATGAAGGACAACTGGAAGGCTTTGATACCACTGGTCTTACTCAGTGTTTTATTTTCTCCAGTGGCAATTGGGTCTCAGTGGGCCATTGCTCTCAACAACTATGGCTATTATACTTCCTTTACCCTCTACCTGCACAGAAAGCCAAGAGCATTCTAAATCAGAAAGATGATCAACACAGTTATCTTCTATTTGTTCATCGTGTTCTGTGACATGGAATCCAGAAACCTGGAAGGCTGCAATTTAGGAAGAAGATTCACTTGGCATGAAGGGAAAATTTTATCTTCCAGCACTTCACTTCAGACAGAAGATAATTTACAGTATACTCAGGAGAGCACGCCTCTGTGCACACGGTGATGCATCATCTAGCTGAGTGCACTGCGAATTAACAGCGGGCAAGGAGTCAGAGCCCTGCTTCTGTTTGACTCCAGACACCAATTCTAGTTACTGTGGAGGTCAAATGCTGACCCTCGGCTCTCTCATGGACAGGATGGCAGAATCTGTTCACTGCAGGCACTCGGCCATTGTGAGGATCAAAGGTGATGGCGTAGCTATACGAAAGCATGGGCTTCACCTCAAGTTCAGCTTACCTGTTCGGAAGTCAAAGCCTTCGGGCTGGCTCAGACCATCCATGATGACCTGTAAGGTGTGTGCTGTTGTCTGTAACCTCTCTGCAATCTTCTCTATACTTTCATTTCCAAGAGATGAATTTATTTTTTGTTGCATTTCAGGCTTTCCAATCTCATGCAGCGTCCCACCAATGAATGACAAAAACCTTCCGTGGAAAAGAAAAGCCCAAATTCATCAGTAATACAACTTTTTACATTTTCTTGCATAGGTCATCTTCAAATTCTCTTTCCCCAGGTCACTATACATCAACTGGCCTTTGCTGTAATAAGTGATGGAGCTGAAGGGCATGTGGGCGGGACAGGAATGTATTTAAACTTTGGCCCAGGAACATTTTACAGTTTGTTGTTCATTACGAGTCAGTGTCACACGCAGACTTTCTAGACAAGGCTGTCTGTACTTACCGCACGTTCCTACCATTTTCAGTTAGGAAAACATTGAATTTAGAGCGCCAGTCACATACAATCTATTGGTGATACCAAAATCCAACATGGCATATGTCAAGCATTGCCAAATTCTGACAAACACTCTGCTCATGTCTTGCTGTATGTGTATATCTATGTGATGGGAGGGTGACCTGCCAGTACCAATGCCACCAATGCCACCGAGCCACATATACATGAAGTTATCTAAAACTTTCAGGAGTATTCAGCAGGAAAATAAACACCAGAGGGCAACTAGGCATTTGTGAGTGCTCGTAGAATGTGTAAGTGGCATGCATAAGAGAACCCAGACACACCCCACAGCAACAATAGAAAAGGGGAATGTGAAAGAAAAAGTGATTTTTTTCCCAAAAGGAGGCAAGTAAAATCTCAAAGATATAATCTAAAGATGAATGTTCTTTCTATTCTTTATACACTACATACTGCAGTGTTTGCTATCCCCCTGCTTGCACAGATGCTACCCAATTATTGAGCAGAGGTAAAGCCATAGCAACACAAAACAAAAAACGATGGTTAGGATGCAGTTCCCTTCAGTTTCATGGGAGTTCTGGGTCATGGCTCCCTTTCTTGACGTTCCTTGGCTGGGCATTTTTCTACATCATTAAGTTCCATTTCCTATGATTAATGGCACTTTAAAAATGTCAACACAGTAATCAGACAGATAGTGATACTAATGCCCTCAAATTCTTTCCTTTAAGAATGCCTCTTGAATACAGGAAGGGAAAAGGAAACTGCTGGAGGTCTGTCTCTAGATCTGGCCCACATGGCAGGCAACTGCACTGTGCAGAACTGGTTGCTTGCCATCCTGATTCTCTGTTTGCACAGTGTTCAAGCAGAGCAGACCTCTTTCTTCAGTGACACTCTGGTGCTGATTATCCTGTGGGAAAAGGCTCTCACCTCACATTTAACTAGGATGTCTCTTGGGCTGGTTCAAATGTGCAACCCTTCTACATTTCTGGAGCCACAGTTTTTATTTTAGAAGATCCTCTAGCATCCACCAAATTCTCATGAGGATCTGTTTTGGTTAGCAGTCTCATAAAGAAGACAAGGAGTGATGCTTAGATCCTTCTTTGGACACGAGCATCCTCTGGAGACCAGGGATTCCCCAGCAGGTGGGGAGGCAGCCTGTGTGTTATACTGACTGATGGACGGCAGCACCAGGGCCAGCTGCTGGAGTTCCTACTGATAGGGTAGCTGACACAGGCAGTATCTGCACACAGCTAACTCATTTTTCAATAACAGCCACTCTTTGGACAGCCCTTTCTGATACTCACTAGTTTGGCTTTACTGTGTGTACAACTAGTTACTATGTAGAGCACCTTCCGGCACCTCAATACTCTGGCTCACACAATTAACCATTTGTTAAGATGCACAAAATTAGTGGACAATATACATATATATGAAACGCATCTAGCAATTAGTAAAGTATGGCAGAAAACTTCCCAAAGCACCCACTCAGCAGGCCACTTAGAGTCTTAAGACTGTATTGTATGTGAATACTTGCGCACGCACGCACACACACACACACACACACACACACACACACACACACTGGAGAGATAGTAACTGCTACAAAATCACATTTATATAAAAAAGTCTGCTTTTAGTGATTGCGACTATAAGAAGATAATGGGTTTGTTTAACTTAGGAGTGTATTTCCTATATCATTTTCATCCTCATGAAGCCTAAAGGCAGCCACTGAAATCAAAAAGAAAGTATCATGTTTGCTTCCAGCTAAAGCTCTGTATTGATCAACTTTATTTTTTAACAATAAAGGAACAAAGTTAAATAGTTCTTGCATTTTGAAAACTTCCTTGAAGTTGACCAGTCCACAGAAAAACCAACAGAAGGGAGGGAAACCTGGGGAGGACCGGAGCAAGCACTGCGGCAGGTCTTACTCTACCTGGGTCTCGGGTACATTTGGCTGCCAGGACAGGAGGGGACACTTCATGCTCAGGAGCTGCTCAGGAAAAGCCTTCTCCAGATTCTAAATTTTCCTCTAGAATTGAGAACTAAGGCCAACACAAAGTACTTCCTAGCTCAAAAGTACAAAAGGAAAACACATCCTTGAAGCCTGGAACCTAGAATGAGCCCACAAAGATGAACATACGCCAAGCTCCGCTAGCTACACATCCTCATTTGATCCCAGCAATCTTCAAATGCAGAAAACAAAAATCGAGGGAGGCTTAATAGCCTGCCCATGGCCATGCAGCTACTCCTAGTCATTGGAGTCTCATCTCACACATAGGTGTCCATGCCACTGAGTACACATAAAAATTACTGTTATATTTGGCAAAATAAAACTCAATGTGTCGGGAAATATCATACCAGCACAATATAATGTCAGATCACTTCTAAACATTAGGTAGTTAACACCAAGAAAATCCCATAAAGAACTTACTATACACAAGCTTTTAAATGGACAGTTCTCACAAGTCAATTAAAACCATCATCTTGCTTTCTCTCCTGTCTCTGGAAGGCTTTTTCCATTTGCTAAGGACTGCTGTTAGAGCTGCTGTTTTTATTTAATATGTAATTTCATCCATCTTACTTAAAGTAAGAAAGTAGCATAAATGCAACAAATAAGCACATCATGTTCTTTTAGCACACATCTGCACAAAGTTAAAACAGACTCTGCAGCGGAGACCACGCTTACCCTGCAAGTACAAAGCTACACAAGCTAACACTGCTGATGTTTTCAACAGAAGCTTGCGACAAAGGCCAGGTCTTTCTCTACAAAGGAGAAGAAAAGTCTTTGTAAAACTTTTCCCCCAAAGAGTAAGAAATTCTCCAGATTCATAAGACTTTGGAAATGACCATTCAGATTTCCGTAATCATTTCCAGCCCAGGGATTTAGGAGTGGAGGGGTTTGTTACATAGAGCAACATGACACCCTGTGGAGCTCACAAGAACCTTGGTGATATAACACCATGACTTTAAAAAAAAAAGGTACATACGGTTTACAGCCCATTGAGAGAGAGAGAGAGAGAGAGAGAGAGAGAGAGAGAGAGAGAGAGAGAGAGATGCTACCATAGCAAACTCCATGGTTTTCAGAGTTTTTCACAATTGCTTCATTTTATCCATTTATTATAGGAGTTTTGTCAACAAGTAAAAAATTCAACACAAGAGCACGACCATTTTGGAAGGAAAAGGAAACAGGGTAGGTCACATGGTAATGTATGGAGAAATTCCATGACATGGGGGAGATTTAGCTTTTAGGCTGGGGTTGTGTGTTAAGTGGTGCACTGACTCAAAGTCCAGCAATGATTTGCTACTCTAAAGACTCCAGATACATGTATAGTTTCAAAGCTATTACTGGAACGAGGAGAGAAGAAACTTTAACACAGTGTGGCAAACGACAAGACCCCCTGTGCCTCTGCTGCTGTATATCCAAGTTGGTGTATTTAGGGGCACTGTGAACAATGAGTTCCGTCTGGATTGATGGAGAGGGTGTCAACTTGACCATATCAGATGTCTTGTGATCACATCGGGTGACAGCCATGGGGACTGCACTTTCATCACTAAGAACCTTCACATTTCTCCTGGGTAAATCAAGACATAGACCTGGACCAGAATCCTTAACAATCTGTGCTGATACACACCCCAGAAGCAAGGGACAATCCAAGAAAAGTGCATGTACAGAAGGCCCCAAAGCTGCCGACTGCTGTCCAGGAAAAGAGGGTAAGGAAGTGATAATGGAAATGGTATCTGAGTGGGTTTTTTTAGCATTTAATTAACCACAGAAAGAGCAAAGAACTCTCCATAAGAAAGAACAGCAGACAAGGCTTTAAGAATATAGAAAGATAAATATCCTGAGAGTTACAATGGGGCTGGCTGTGAAGACCCTCACACTCTGCCCTGGAAGTGCAGTTTTAAACAGTATGCACTATCTGGGCCAGAGTAGGGACAGATGACTTTAGAGCCATTTTGGGGCACTATTTAGAATGTCTTCAGAATGTCTCCTTCACTGGTGAGTAGCAGAAAGTCACTGAGAACCAAGAAGCCTGCTACCATTGATTGAGGAATACAGGGTCTTCTACACCCCCCCCTCACCTCCTGCAGAGCGATGAGATGATACACTTCCTTCCTTTTAAGGGCCATCAACAATGCTCAGAAGCAGAACTCACTGCATGCTGCAGTAACTGCAAGGAGAACCTGTCCTCACGCAGCTGTTTCAGTAAAACTCACAAGCTTCAGCATTTCAACATAGGGAATGAACTTTATTTAAAAAAACTTGCCAGTGGGCTGGAGAGATGGCTCAGTGGTTAAGAGCATTGCCTGCTCTTCCAAAGGACCCGAGTTCAATTCCCAGCAACCACAGGGTGGCTCACAACCATCTGTAATGGGGTCTGGTGCCCTCTTCTGGCCTTCAGGCATACACACAGACAGAAAATTGTATACATAATAAACAAATAAATATTTAAAAAAAAAAAGACTTGCCAGTTAAGTATCTTCACAAGTCTTCTAGAAGTTCAAGCATTAGGAGGATACCTGTTTAGAGACAGTTTCACCAAAGCATCTAAGATTGGTGAAGCAACAACCAATGTCATAAACAGCACTGATCACCTATTCCTGAACAACTGAATAACTTGCTATGAGTCATATGCTGTGTAAGTATCACAGTTCAACTTAAAAGTCACAAGGGTGGGTGTATGCACGTGTGCACACACACATAGACAGAGATAGAGAGACTGAAACAAAGGAG